ATATTTACTTCAGAGCATGTTCATGGTGGTTGAAATCACTAGTTTCTCTCTTTCTCATAAGAATGGCTGGTTTTCTTATATAAGTCTTTGTCAGCTGGCATCCTCCAGATGTGCTGTGCCTAGAACTCCTAGAATTCCCATAGAGTGGCTGGGATTGGAATTACGGAAGTTATACAGTTGCAACAAATCTGGGGATCAAATCAGAGAAAGTTGTATTATATTCTCTCTCTCCTGCTTTGTCTGATAGCTTCATTTCTGTCCATTCATAGTGCTAAAATGGAAGAAAATTAGCTCCTGTAAAAGTTATATTAAATAGCTGAAAGTTGCCAGAACTCATCTTGCTATTTTTTTAATGGATGAAAAAGACATTGAGAAAGGGCTTTCATGGAGCAAAGAGATATAATGACAATCATCCATGACACACTTTCTGGTATACCTTGTGGATATGTACCTGGTGGAATGATAGGCGAATAGTGAATAGTGCTGAGGAATTAGGAGACAAGTTTATGATCCCAGGCAGAGTGTCTTGGTAGCCAGTTTCTTCAGCATCAGTTGAAGACAACTGTTCCATCTGCCATGCTGGAATAAGATGCAATTGCCAATCCAGCTAGCTTGAAATATCTAGAACCTAGAGTGGTGAGAAGATGTCATTGTTATAGCCTGGGCAGAAAATATCTTGGTTTAGTCCTAGTTGCCATCTGTTCACATTCTGTGATTCCACTGATCAGAGATGACTATCTTTGTTGTTGGAAGAGCTTGTGTATCACATGAGAGAAGAGGCTAAGAAAATCATAATATTTGAAAATAATTTGGTAATTGTACAGATGAGTCACCAAGTTGAGGGATTCCTTGAGGCAGTGGAGCAAAGCAACACTGTGGTGCCCTTGACTTGCAACATCAGGAGTAGCAGATGACCCCTAGCAACCCTTGGACAGCCAAGGCCATGTCACTTGAAAATCCTGACTGGCACAGGACTGTAGAGTTCTTTATATCATTCTCATTATCTTATAATTCTTGTTATAATTCTGACAATAATTATTGAATATGTTCTGAATATGTTTGAAGTAAATCTTTAATGGCACGTCTTGTAATACCGCTACAAAATTGTCAAAACTAAGTATCCATATAGTATAAGTATAATGTATACATCAATATTTGCACATGCTGGGGCTTACAGCTTCACTTCTATAACCAGGAGAGTATTTGGAACACACAGTGGGATATTGTTGCATGATCATAGAGCAATTTCCCATTCCACTTCAGGGGGCTCTCAGCTCCAATTAAAGGGCAGATAGAGATATATAACTTGGCCTGTTGCAGTCCATGTGAATGCGTTACTTTGGGTTATGGAAGCATGATTAGAACGTCAGAGAATACAGAATACGTCATGGGCAGAATACTTGTATCAGATCTGAGCTTTTTGTTTTGTGTGTTTGCTTCTCATGTCCCTTTTTGAATTTTGAATTCTTGCACTAGTTTTATATTCATCCCCCTTTTGTTTTTATAGATATTAATGAGTGTAACGAAAATCCTTGCGACAAAACTGCCAGCTGCAACAACTATGAAGGAAGTTACTCGTGCTCCTGCCCATCAGGGTATTTCCAATATTCCGATGCTGTCCAGGAGGATAAAACAAAGATAAAATGCAAAGGTAAATTCCAGAGGAGAGGGCAGGGAAAAGGAATTAAGGGCAGAGGCAGCATTCTTACGGGGAACAGCCCTACAATGGCACAGACCACCGGAAGCTTGTTGTCGGGCTTTAGCTGGAGGCAGGGCTGGAACCACTGAGGTACGTTCCCTTACATAGGACAATCCAAAAACTGAAGATGAGTAAGATTTTTTGAAGAAACTTTGAAGCCATTACCAAAAGCATTTCAGCAATTGCAGTTTTCTTCTTCTTCTTTTTTAAAGATCTTTTATCCCGCCTTTCTTATTTTTATGAATAACTCAAGGCAGTGAACATACCTAGTACTCCTTCCTCCTCCTATTTTCCCCACAACAGCCACCACCCTGTGAGGTGAGTTGGGCTGAGAGAGAGCGACTGGCCCAAAGTCACCCAGCCGGCTTTTGTGCCTAAGCACTCACGGTCTCCTGCTTTCTAGCCTGGAGCCTTCACCACTAGACCAAACTGGCTAACAAACAGTTAAACAAAAATTAGCTTTCTTTATAAATGCAAGGTTCAAACCTCCTTCACTTTAGTTTTTCATCCTACTTTATCTAATAAACTACTTGGCCTCCTCTTTTGTTAAGCTTTTTTCATCTGTCCTTTGTTTTTGCAATGGTCAGCTCTGTTCTTACCTTGTTGTTTACAGACAGTATGAGAAATGACTTTCATGTTAACTTGTATTTAGAGATCATTCTTGTCTTAACTTTTAAGAAATGCACACTTACTATGGTTGCTTTAATACAGCATTATAATTTGGTTTATATTTTACTACAATCTTTTTATTTCTTATTTTTATTTTATTTATTTCTATTATTAGAATTTGATTATAATTTTTATTGTATTTTTATTGTATTTTAATTAATATTTATTTTTTGTTTTGACTGTAAACCGCCCAGAGTCACTTCCTAGTGAGATGGGTGGTGACCAAATTTGAAATATAAATAAATATAAATACTGCTAATTGCAGGCTGCTGGTTGATA